CTTCTGCCGTAATGAGGCATAGCCCAGTTTCAGGTGGAGTTAGCCCCCGGGGAAACACGAAATCAAACTCCTGTTCATCAGAAACTGGGTAATGAGGCCGTTTGAGTTATTTGCAGCTCTCTGTGGGCTGGGATGGCCTTCCCTGCCTCTCCCCAGGCAGAATCCCTCCTGCAGGGACCCCAGATCGTTTTGCGAAGCTCAAATTGCCCTGATTTGTGCTTGGAGAATCCAGGCTGTGAGTTAACCTGATGGGTGCCTGCAGCACTGGGTGGTGCAATTCCTTACCACCCTACATGGATCTCGTTGTCCACTTTGGCGCCCAAAGCCAGAATTTCTGCAACATTGATCCAAACTTGCCCATTTTTGAGGAGACGCACCTCACCCCGTGGGATACGGGGCCATGCCAGCATCGCTCTGTGGGGCTCTGTGGGTTTTGTGAGTGGCTCTGCATCCAGCCTCTGCTTGTTCCTCCCTGTGCATCTCTGCTTTAACCCCAGCCCCGTCTGGCTTCTCCTTCCCGGGGGCTCGGTCACCTTGGGCCTGGCAGCAGGGAGCAGCTGAGCTGCAGCGATCGGTGCTGCGACCTTGGCTGGTGTCCTTCAGAGCCGGCATCCTTCGGAGCCGGCCTCGCGTGGCTGCGTCCCCAGGCTGCCTGTGGCCGGGACAGCCCGAGTGAGGGTGTGAGGATGCTCATCCCTGCGACCCCCGCTAATCCGCCCTGGCTGTCCGGGCAGCCGCCTCTGAGTGTGCTGTCGCTGTGTCCCTCAGTGCAGGGTGGGGGCAGTGGCTGCTCCCCTCTCATCAGCCATTCAGGTCGCTCCCGCATCGATCGGGTCTGGATCATGCTGACAAACCACCTTCAGAGCCACAGGGACCCGGGGAGGCTGAAAGTCTGTGTCTGACCAGGTCCAGGTGCTGCGGGGCTGCCCGAGTGCGTCCCCAGCACACTCCCAGTAGGATCTCCCCGTGCACTGGCATTGCGTCTTCGCTTTGCACCGCTCGTCCTCCCCCTGTGGGTCTGACCCCCGGCTGGAGGGGGTCCCTCTGCTCCCCCACACCCCTCCAAGCCCAGGGACGGGCTCCCCCAAGGGGGCTGCCCCCTTCCCATGTGCCACCCCACTCCCTCCTCCCTGTGCACAGTGTGCCCGTGCCTTCACGGGGAGCGACAGACGTACCCGTCCCTTCAGGCAGCACTGGGCAGGCTTGTCCTGTGATTAAACCAGCCTGAAGCCCCATTTCATCACTCCAACTGCCCTGTCAATAGCCGGGCATCCGAGAGGGCTGCTGGACTGGTTCTTGCACACTGGAACATCTCCTGTCAATAACCTCTGGATTTAAGTCTGTGGCTCAGAGCATCTTTGCTTATCTCAGCTCCCCGGCTCTCCAAAGCACTTATGTTCCCAGCCATGGTAACTCCCTGCCTGTAAGTGGAGACAGGCACCATTAGCCCCACAGCAAACAGCCGCTGCAGAGAGTTTTGCTGGCAAAAGTGCGGCGAAGGTGTTTTCCACCGGCTTTTTTGCAGGTGAGGGTCCCGCGGGCTGCCGGGCTGGGGCTCGGCGGGGGGACGGGCACAGCCCCAGGAGCGCCCACGTCCTCCTTCCCCAGCACCCCTCATGCCGCCGGCAGCTGTGTGTGCTCACAGACCTCTCCAGAGCCAGGGCAATGCAACGATTTATTTTTATACAGCCCATTTCATTTATCATCAGTGCATCAGAAAGCGACAATTCACCTTTCAATGCACCAGCTGAAAAAAAAAAACCGTCTCCACTGCGCTTGGCAGCCCCTCAGGTCGGCCCTTTCCCGAGGCTGGGTGTTTAGCAGAGACTTAGAGCTCAATCTGTTCAGCTTATCGAAAAGTAGCCTCAGATGTGACTTGATTACAGTGTGCAAGTACCTTCCCAGGGAGAAAACTGCCAGGTATTAAAGGGCTCTTTAACTTAGCTGAGAGAGGAATAATAAGAACTGAGGGCTTGAAGATAAAGTCAGACAAATTGAAACTCAAACCCAGGCGCGGGTCTGCAGAAGGGAGGGCGCAGCGCGGCTGGCGCAGGATCCCCGTGTGCCTTTCTCAAAGCGATGCCCTGGCTGGAGCGTGGCTGCCCGGGTCTGGGGGGTCCTGACCCTGCGGCTCCGGCCCCACACGGATGCGGCCTTGGGCAGCAGCAGGACGAGTCCCCTGGCATCGTGGGCGAGGGGGATGGGCGATCGAATTCTGCTTCCCAGGCACATCCGAAAGTCTTGCTGTCGCGTGGTATCTCTGCCGGAGCCTGGGAGCACGTCAGCCCCCGAGGTGACCTTTCCCCAGACAGCTGGAGCCTCCCTCTCCGCACCAGAGGCAATTCCAGCCTGGTGAAAACTGCCCATTGTGGAAGAACTCGATCCTGGAAACCAAAAGCCCTCTCTCCACGCTGGTCCTGCCTCCCCTCCCCTCTCCTCTCCTCTGCTGCCGGGAGGCTGGAGGAGCCCGCAGAGCACTGGGGACGTCCCCGTCTTGCTCTGCTCCGCTGTCCCCGTGACCAACGGCTGCACATCTACCGATTCCCCGCCGGGAGTTAATCTCGACTGTTAGCATGTCAGGTCGCCGGCGGATTAAACAAGGGGATTAGCATCAAACAATTTCCCTCCCGCCCCAAGTGGGGAGGCAGGAAATATAATCACTGTGGTTTTATTCTGCTTAGGCTAAAAAAGCTCCCTGGCATGTGGCCGGGCGATGCCAGCCGTGCCGGTGGCACAGGGGGGCACGTGCCCAGGGCGCCGCAGCGTGCTCGTGCCGGGGGGCGGGGGGAGGTGTCCCTGCTGGGTGCCACCGGTGTCACCGTGGCAGCCTGTGCCCGGGGGGTGGGAGCAGCCACAGCTGGGTCAGACCAAGGCGATGCCCGGCCGTGAGGGGCGCGTGTCCTCAGGGGCAGCAACGGCCTCGGCAGGGCACAGCCCACCCCGAGAAGCTGCCCGCCAGCCTGGGGCTGATCTGCCGGGCTTGGGGAGGGGCTGCCACCATTCCTTAAATGCGCCCCCCCCAAGGAGGGCACAAAAGCTGGGGCTGAAGCGGGGGGGCTCTCAGCCCCCAGGCAGCGCCGGAGCCGCCCCAGCCCCTTCCTCCCAGCCTGGCTCAGCGGTGGACGGCAGAGGATGGAACAGCCCTCGCAGGTGCGAAAGCAAATCCATCTTCCCAACAGCTCCCAGACTCCGGAGCCGGGGGACGGTGACGCAGCTCTGCTCCGACGGCTGCGGTGCTGCAGGCTTGCCAGCTTTCATCCCGAGCTTCCACCTCGCCTGCGATCACAGGATCCACCGTCAGCACCGTCGCTGCAGCTGCCTCCCCCGTGTACAGCCCCGGGGCCAAACCGCCACGTCCCCTGCCAGAGG